TGGTATATACATATCTGCTCCAACGCTTCCCTGAAATGCATAAAAGCATCCATTTATGGAACTCCTCTAAAATCAGTCCATTTAAAAAATAAAAAAACCATTTTTTTTTCGGAAACCACAGTAGTTTTTGGCAAAAACTCGAAAACGTCCCGAGGTATGGTTGCTATTCATGAAATGCCCGAATAAAATATGAGCATCGTGGTCTTCCGACAAAATGAGGGGGCGGAGAAATTTTTTTCAAAATGCACGAAACTTTGTTTCACCCTGTATCACAGGTCCTGATCAATTTAGAAGAAGCTGTAAGGAACGGTTCGAAAGACGATGAAGAAGGCATTCAGAATCTGGGCGGCAATTCAAAATTCGTTCAATATTTAAGAAATTCCGAGAAGTCAAACTTGATGCCAAATTTCACTATTAACGTTTCAATTGACGCCCAGTTTATAATGAAATACATTGAGAATTCGCAATCTCCATGTGATAAAAATATTAATTCTTTCTCGGTTTATTCAACAGAAAACAGCTACTTTCCTGGCTATATGCCAAAACGAACATTGAATTCTTGGGAAAATCATGTGAGATCAATTGCTAAAAGTGCATCCCAAAAACTTGGTTTTCTGTTTCGGGCCAGGAGCTATTTCACTTCCAGTCAGCTGCTTATGATCAATAAGGCACAGGTCCGACCTGTCCTGGAATACTGTTCCCATATTTGGAGTGCAGCACCCAAACATACCCTAAAACTGTTGGATTCTGTCCAAAAAAGGGCGATTCGTCTCGTGGGTGATGCCTCGCTCACAAGCTCACTCACTTTTCTGGAACTCCGTAGAAAAGTTGGCGATCTGGTTCTATTTTAAAGATATTTTCATGGACGATGCTCTTCTGAAATATCAACAATTGTTCTCCCTTTGGTAGTCCCCGCGAGATTAACCCGTCGAATTGAGGCTTTGCTCCCCTTCGTGGTCACTTTGGAGACCTGCAGAACATCTCTTTCCAAAGACTCGTTCATCCAACGAACAGCGAGGCTCTGGAACATATTGCCAAGGGAGGTGTTCCCCGAGGCATATAACCTTCAGAAATTCAAAGAGAACACCAATTCCTAACTTATTTCCCTTGGTTCTCACGATGTTGTCTGAAAATTACAGGATATCCTTTTCTCCATTTCCTAGCTCCTATGGCCAGTTGGTATGTACATACATACATACCAACGAAGTACGTAATAGTATACTACTACTGCTACGCATAATACCTACAATAGATCAGACACGTCCAAACTAACGCCTATATAATCAATCTATTCAAATGTAGGTATCGATCAGTGATAAAAGTAGACCACCTAAAATATTGAAACCGGATCCACACGTGTTTAAGCGGGGAGTTATTGATTGATTAATCCAATATAAATTATACAGGGTTAAACTACGAGCCATATGCCATATCGACCGTATGTGAAGGTCCAGAGTTGCATATTATTCAGTATCAGAATGAAGAAGATATGGCATGGAAAGCAGAACCATACCATAATACCAAATAGACTCAAAACGATTCATTCAGGACTATAACGAGAAGGTAGTAACCTAAGATTAGTTGAATATTGAACCAATAACATAAAGTGAATGTTGGGGAAACATTTTGAATATTGGGGAAACATTTTGAATATTGGGCCAATGAATCAATGTGAATATTCTGATGGGATCTTGGTATATGTTCCCTTCATTCTATTCTGTTTAAAATGACTAGCTTTCAAATTATTACTGATTCGTATCCTTCGGACTCGGACTCTTTCGCCAAAATATGTAAATAAACTGTTGCAATTTTTAGATAACAGGCTTTCTTGCAAAATTATCGTTAATTTTTATTCACTCGTGCAATTATAGCCGAAAACATATGAAGGGTGTATCTGACTTATCTAGCTTAGCTTTTGAGGAAACAATAAAAATTCGATTTGACTCCAAATTTTAATGTAGGTGTTTTCAAGACTTCCATTGAGATTACTCAATATCCCCAATTACCATAATTTTGATATTTTAGGGCTTCCTCAGTCTCCTATCATACTGAATTTTGGCACCATGAAAGCTTATACAGGGGGGTTAAAAATAAAAACAATTGATACTTCCAACTTCAACATCCTGTATCTCAAAGCCAGAGCAAGTTAGGACACATGTTTATATGAACTCTAAAACTTTCCGATCTATATTCATATGAACTGAGAAATCACCCATTGAAGTTGAATAACACCCTGTATATTTGAGAACAGAAGAAAAAGCTCTTTCACAACAGTTGAAAATAAACATCGAAAAAACTGATTTGGAATATTTTTAATCATTTTGCGATTCGCATCTGTTTGTTTGAGTAGTGCAAAAAGATCGTACCTACGGATGAAATCCTACAAAACATTCATATTGTCGCAACTTAGATGGTTCTAGATTATATTGTCGCGAAAATACATAGAACACCCTGTATATCAGTCTCTACCCACTTCATGACCGAGCTATACGCCAAGATTGTCAAGTCATCAGCAAGATGTAAATAGATAGATAGATGTAGATAGATAGTTTATTTGACTATATCATATACATATGCATATTCATAGCAGGTCATTTGTGTCTCAGAATAAAATTTTGAAAACAATATAATGAAAGTTTGAAAATAATAAAACATCACCATTACACAAGAACAAACATACAAAGGTTAATACATAATAAATATTTGTAAACTAATTCTAATGAACAGTCGGTAAGTATGTTCTTAAAGGAAAAAGGTAGCACCTGGAATATTTTCAACGTATTCATCGATAGAATAAAAACTATTATTTCACATTGACAGATACGATTTGATTGTTCATTTGAACTCATTCATATTTAATATTTTAACTTGATGTGGCAGTCATATATGTGGCAGTGCATTATAAAGATTGAAATCTTTTTCAACGTATTCATCGATAGAATGAAAACTATCATTTGACATTGACAGATACGATTTGATTGTTCATTTGAACTCATTCATATTTAATATTTTAACTTGATGTGGCAGTGCATTATAAAGATTGAAATCTAAATAATTTTTTTGTGAAACAGAGAGCCTATATCTAGGGATTCTGATATTATCAGAATTCCTAGTATTACACGCAAAGAAAAAGCCTGTAAGAAATACTAGCATAAAAGTGAATTTCACTGGTAAAAACAGTTGATATATGGACAGACAGTCCTCCCACTAAACTTTACTATTCAGTTCAAGTGAAACTATTCAAGGCACTGGCTACACGATGTGATAGTACCCTTAATTAGAAACGGAGGAAATTCTTTACCCTTCGAACTTCATGAATACTCACAATGAGGAACAGTAAATCAAACGATGCACAAATACTGCGGCTGAACATAATGCAGCTGTAATATTCGCTCTTCCGTACACTGTAATGAACTTCATACAATGTAATCAAACTTACCATGAGAAAAAGTTATGATTCACATCCACTTCTTCACTATCGGAAATAGTATACTCGGATCAATATTGGATAGTATTTTTTACTATAATGACTTAGTATTTATTATTATCGTGGATATTATAACCACTCATGCTTATTTCAGTAGTATTTACTATAAGACATATTAATAGAAACTAGGAATCAGCATAACATATTACTATTCTTGTTATAGTGTAGTTAACTGCACGTACATTTCGTAGTATATGAGGTACAGTCAGATGCAATAATGAACATGTGTAGCACTTGGGTAATGATAACACCTCTAGCCACTTCTATAATAAGAGCGCTTACATCATCCAACCGCGACTTGTTTTTTGCATCTGTCTGTAATGGATATAAATGAATACGGAATTAGTAAAAAGAATGAAACCACTATATACCTATAGAGTTCCTGATGAAGAGCCAATACAGATCCGAAAGCTCGAACAGAAACAAGAGTACACTTTGTTTTACTTTGACTGCATACCCAAAAGGATTTACAGTTTCATCCATTTCACTAACTGTATGATGAATATCAATTTGTCATGGATTTAAACAAACCTTGTCTTGACAAATTAGAATTAGATTCCAAATTTTTTTACACGGCGGTATACCTATATGTTCTCCTGCTGCTTTCGAGAAAATATCCTAACGAAAATCATCCAGTGAATCTATGACAATTGATTTCTTTCAAGGATATGTTTTTATTCGTAACCTATATTAGAAAAATATTCTCTCTTAGAAACCGTTATCTTGTTGGGACATCTGGCATACAATATTCCAATATATATATATGAATAGAGTAATAAGCAGTTCAGTGTATCTCTGAAATAACATAAAATCAGTTGGAATTATTGTCTAGGACATTCAATTGGATTTGTATCTTTCATCAATTATTCATAGATGCAAATAGTTCACTGATGGCAAGAATCAGATTGATGAAGCAGGTAGGTACACAAAATTAAATTCTGTACTTTTTTTCGAACACTTCACATGGTGTTTATTTGGAATTAAAAAAAATGGAACATAACAATAAAACATAACAGAACATATACTCCTTTCTTGAACATATAAATATTATGTTTGTACAATGTAATAGGGTGGCCCTTTTCTTATGGGATTTTATTGGTAATTTCCAAACCATATAATGGTTAGAAGGTCGGTTAAATGGAGAAAAAGTTGCGTATCAGAAACCATCATCTAGCGGTGAAAACTAATCGTCATATCTCAAGAACTGGTACTGATATTTTCAATTCGTTTTCACCGCCGCTGGATGATGTTTCTTGATACGCAACTTTTTCTTCATGTAACCGACCTTCTTACTAGTACGGTTTGGAAGTTACCAATACAATCCCAATTAACAATGTGGACACACTGTATACCTACATATCAAATATATACATATACATTTATATATATATCAACAAAATGATAAGAATAAAACGAAAAACATTTTGTTTCACAAAATACTTGAACAGAATAGTATCAAGTTTGATACCTAATTAATTATTCAACTCCTGTTGTAAGACAGATATAAACTCACCATCATAATCAGTAAAAATTTCATAAAATGATTGTTGCACAAATGTCCATACCATTTCACTCTCTGCAGGATATTTGGCATTGAATGCATAAAAACATTCAAAGCACAAATCGATAACTTTCAAAGGTGACTCCATTTCCCAGAGAATATCATTCACACTGACGAATGACTTTTCTATGTTGAGAATGCTTTTACCTACTAAAATAGGTATTGGCTGCATGGTAAGTTTGAGCTGACTGTATTTATTCCTTTTATACACCAAATTAGGTTGAATGTCCGCAATAATCTAAAAAAAAAGATGGGTAAGTGAATAATTAAATCCTATCATGGTAAGTATCATAAACCATAGGTATTATACATGGGCAGAACATACTTTTATTCAGGCAGTTTAAGAAATTTGTCAGACCTACCCTTCATTCATCATGCTCATAGGGTAGTAATATAACAATCTACTATTGTATGTGTACGCGCAACATGCCATGATTATACATATATGCATATAGTTTTTTGTGTTTATATTTTTATAATGAGTTATTTGAGAAACGTATTGTGAATTTTACATTTCGGTAGATAAGTTTTATATATGGGTATAATATATGAAGTTGCACACGAGAGAATAGTAAATTTTACCATCCTAGGGGACGGGTCCACAGTATGTAATAACGCCTAAACACGATGAGGCATGTTTAAAGTTGATTCTTATAATATGAAATATTAAAAATACTCATTATATCAATTGATAGATATGATTTCTTCACTAGATCATTATAAAATGAAATATGCTTACCTGCAAACAGTGGATACAAATGAATTGGTATTCTGTACTCCTTCATTGTCGAATATAGGTTAATCAACTTGAATTGTCTCATTTTTCGTTTCATCAACATCAATCAAGGGTTTTTGAGTTTTATTCTTTCCAAAGTTTTTTTTTTAAAAACTGTAGGAAAATGTTTACCAATAGCATGCCGCCTGAATGAATTGTAACATCCAAATTTTCTACGACAATTGTCTTCGGCAAACTCATACACTGAATCACTTTTCAACCTATGCACTATTCTCAAATGTACTGTGAGTGCCTTGAATGAGGATAGTGTCACTGAGCAACAAAAACATCTCATTTTCACTGGCAAGCACTGATGACAATCTGATTTCTGTAGATCATGCACAGCACAACATATACTGCGAGAATGAACAACCAACGAATAACTGAAGTCAAACCATAATGGAAAAAATCCATGGAATGTTTCCTTTCAGATACGCGGGTATATTTTCAAATTAACTGAATAGTTCATGATGTTGTATTAGAAGAGTGAAATTTTTTTGGGTTTCCAGTTATAAGTTACCTTGCAAAACATTGTATTCAGATCATGTTAACAAATAACGAATTTGATATAGTTGTTCAATTCTAATTGGAATAGTAAACTTTAACATTTTCTAGAATCCTCTTCACCGCGATGATAGTGAATATTTTTCAATACATTTCAATAACTATTGATAGAAAATTTCATTCTTCTTCAGAATGGATTATACCAGAGTTCGTGAGTTGCATTCACAATGGGGAATAGTGAATAACACAGCTGCGATTTCGTATTAGTAAATTGATAATGATTACTCCGAAACACAGTACTCCTCCCTATGATTCAAATGTGATTTTCATACTGGTATAATTTACTAATGGCTTATTGAAGCTAAGTGTTTTGGCAGTTGGAAAGTCTAGGATTCTCATTACAATGTACTAGAAATATTTCACTACCAAGAATTGTGATTCCTTAAATGGATATTTTTTAGCGTGTATGATGGTGGACATCAGCCCACAGCGTGCGGGGGACCGGGGCAACGACTCAAGCAACTGCATTTTATGTATTTGTACTCGCAGTTGTACTTAACATCGTGACATTGTTACAACTCACCAATAAACATTTGAATCGAACCTTTTGGCCTATAAATTCCCCCCAAATCCCCAAGCAGTGTCACAATATGACATTATTGAGAACAAACGGCGCCTCCACCACGTGTCGCAACTCAGATGTTGATCCTTCTATAGGTCGTGACTTAGCTACTCGCTTGGCTTTTCACCACCCAACCATATTCATCCCCAAATAAAGAGAATTGTTTTTCAAAAGTACAAGAAGCAATTTATTCAATCATGAAAACATAAAAATGTGCCAAAAGGGCGGAACAGCAAAGAACAAACATGAAACGAGCAAACAACAGAAACAAGATGATGGTTCTTGGAACTTACATTATGTTATAGGCAGCAGCACCAAAGTCGAGGAAGTCAGCAATCAATGAATGAGTGTTATGTTATAATAATTCTTAGTGACGAATCGAATAACGGTTGAACTAATAATGACCATCCTTATCGATTCGGGTTCTATTTATATTTGAAATCGATGCTAGATTCGCAATTTTCCGCAATGGGAATGGTCGTTTCCTTTCGATACTGCTTACCTAGGTATTATCGCGGGGTAAGCGGTTTCTTTGCAAATTATAAAGGAAATGACGTCTATGGACTCCGCTGTTTTAATTTGGAAAAGTTAATTAATGATAAAAGATCTTGAAATGAACGAGAGTTTTGTACTTCTTGACAATATTCAAAGTTTTTTCCGTCTCGTATAGTTGAAGCTGTAGGTAGGGCTCAGAGTATAAGAAGACATCATGTACGTATGGAGGTGCAGAACAATTTTATTTTTGATGGCGAATCACCCTGTATGCGGTCCGATAACTCTAGCGCAGCGATTACCGCCAACTTTGGGGGGCTGACCAGACGCCCGAGAATTATGGGGGTGGGTTCGCCCTTTCTAGCGTCGTTTAATAGCTTTAGTGTTTTTATCTCAGAAAGACACATTCTCTGTCGTGCCGGATAACCAGGTAATTATGGCATTTCCCGAAGGTTCCATAAATCTACCCAGAGAATTTTATATGGTCAGAAAGTTTCATACTATACACGGAAAGAAAGAAATTGTTGAATCAAACAAAATTTAATTGAATAAAGAGCAAATAGAAGTGTCATATATGCACGACAAAATATAATATTGAAATGAGTAAATCTATATCTTGTTTCAGAGCGAATTTGAAGTCTGATCTAAGAAAATATGTCTTGCATGAACTCTGGATCTAATTCAATCAAGCACATCCATGAATTGTTAATGAAGAGATATTGAATTGGCTCAAACAATCATTTTGTTTGTTTCAAAATAACAAGATATTGATTCAATCAAATATTTAGCTAATTCAATGAAATATTTGGTTGATTCAATGAATTATTTGGTTGATTCAATGAAATATTTGGTTGATTCAATGAAATATTTCGTTGATTCAAGAGAAACTGTATTTCCATTCGACAAATTGTTTCGTTGAAACAAATTCAGTATTAATTCGGGAACTTTCTGAAATTTCACATCAATAGAATAAACTAAACTAGGAAACTAGTCGACTTCTAGCATATATCTCCAGTATTTAGTTCTCTTCAGTCTATGCAAAACTATTTCGGATTGAAATGATCGCCATCTATAGGCGAAAATTTAACTTGATGTAGAGTGAACAAAATATTTCATTGATATTACATATTTACATCGGAATAAGAACGTGTATGTTGTTTCAAAGATATATTCTCATCAAAATGATCATTATTAAATTAAAATTTTGGAGACAACTTTGAGTTATCTTTCTTGATCATTCCACTCCACTTTGAGTATGGACTACTACAGAAGATCATTATTTCATCATATCGACAAAATGTTTATAAACTACTCAACACTAATTTCGTCGCATACCAAAATGTCGCCCCTGTTATAATGTGAATAACTTTTTTCAGTTTAAAACAATTTGAATTTGGTTTACACTGTTCCATAGCCCAGTCCTTCAGCTATAATCTGGTACTTCATTGAAACATAAGGGTATTCAAATAAAATCTCTACATGGTGTTTTCCGACACCGTGCAAAATTTCGGAATATTCAAAAGGCTCTCAAATGGTGAAAAAAATTTTTTCCTCAACTTCGACAACAGATGCATGAAGATGATGTCATTACCTCGAGATATTTCGAGAATCAACTTCCTATCTCTCTTATTTACAGAGTGATCTCAAAAAATGAACTTTTTGGTTTTGCAGCCATAACTTTTTTCCACGTCAACCGATTTTGGAACTCTTAGGCTCATTTTGAATATAAAACTTCAGATGAAGAGATCTGAATATCAGAATTAACTCAAGATGGCTATCAAAGATCTAGAGTTTTCTTGAAAGTGACCCAAATCTGGACCGCCCTCCGAATCTCGGTTGGGAGGAGAATTGAATAAAAATCAACTTGTTCTCGGAAAAACAATTCATTCTGGATGCGTCCATATTTTCTTCGCTCTCAGTACTCAAGAATGTGCGTGAGAAAACACAATTGAAACATGTTCTTGCAAAAACATCAGACCATTTCTCCTCTGTAATGCAAGGCCCGTAACCAACGTTACAAGATTCACAGTAAGTGACTGACAAGTCAGGTTAGACGTCGTTTTCGAATCATAAACAGATTTTGATAGTTTCGATGCCGCATATAACGCCCGACCAGTTGGAACTGATTCCACAAATGAGGGAACAAGAGTTATCTTCCCTCCAAATCGCGGATCTGCTAAACACGACAGTCCGATTCATGCAAAGGGCTTATCTCCGACACGAATTGTTTGGTTATTACTGTCGATTCGTTCAGCGCATTATTGCGACTGAAAACTTTACGTAATTGGCTAACTGTTTTCGTGAAACTTTCACCATTTTTGAAATGCGTTTTTACAATAGCTTGAATTCTTCTCCATATTCTTAAATCGCATGTTATGTACGTGACAACTGTTAAAAAAATCACTTTATTGAAAAAATCAAAATCCGTTGCTCTTGTTGGTACACCATTTATGATGAGTCTCAGCTGGTCGGGTTTGTCAGTCACTCATTGTGATTCTAGTAACGTTGGTTACGGCGGACCATGCATTACAGAGTAGAAATGAACTATAGTCCAGCCAAAAAACCTCAAAAAATGATCCAACCTCCGAAAAAATCCGAAAGTTTTGAAACTTTGTACATTGATTTATAGGTACCTAGGGATGAATATACCAAAAGTCCTCATGAATATGATGCGAGCTCTAGCGGCAATTAGCGGAAACAGGGCACTTTTTTGGTTTTTCGTCAATATCTCGAGAACCGTTGGTCGGAGGTGGAGGTTCATTATATACATAATTGAAGCTTATTAAATTCGCAACAAAAATGATGATATACACTTTTCTTGTACTCCTGATGGTTACCGAGTTATAGGGCGCTAAAGAAAGCGTTTTTTACAAATTCACACTGGCGCTGGTATAATATGGCATTTCTAATAAATTTTGACAATGGTTCACCAATTTCTCTGAGGATTGGGGAGATAAACTTCACAGTTCGTTCAAAAAGAGAGACATGGTGTATATTAACAAGTGAAATACAAGAACATTCCTCATTACTACCCTTAACAGCCATGGTGTTGAAGCAGAACAAGCATCCAGTGATGCTAATACATTGATCATCCGAACAGCACTCGTGAAATCCTTCACTTTGTGACAGAGTAGCAATAGTCGGTGAAGATGTAGATCTTATTATTCTCCTCATGGCCTTAACCCCGACTGAACAAAACATATTATTTGTGAAACCGAGCCATGGCAAAGTAGGAAGGAAAGTATATTCAAGCCAGCAATTGCAAACTTTGGGAATGAAGAACTGCATACTTCTTGTGCATGCGTTCAGCGGATGCGATACGACTTTGGCTGCTTATCGAAAAGGGAAACTTTCCTGTTTCAAATTGTTCAAGAAGCAAGCTGTACTGCAAGGTATTGCTATTGTTTACCATCAAATTCAATTTTGGCTTGGGAATGAACTACCTCCTGCACAGCAGCACCTGCAGCTGTCCTCAACCTTATTTGTTTCAAATGTACAAGTGGATGTGGGAACAGATGTGGGTGTCGAAAGTCAGGAATAAGTTGTACAAGCATTTGTCACAACTGCCATGGCGATTGCTTGA